CAAATCGAACACGACAAACCGAGGTTCATTAGTAATGGAGGTCGATATGGATATCGACGTCGATTACCATTATTCGACCTCAGTTGCCCAGAAACTAAAATTGATCCGACAATCGAACGTTCGGAAATCGAACTTAATCGAACCCAATCGAACTCAGTCCGTGGTTGAGTTCGGCAATCGAACCAAATTGAACACCGAGCTTTGTGTGAGCTCGATCTCCGAACAATCGAACTCAATTGAACAAATCGGACCTAACCAAACTAAATTCATTAGATTGTTTTTGCTTGGGTTCGGCAGCCAAATTCAATCAAACAAAATCCAGTGGATTGCGTTCAATTGTTCCCTGAATAAATTCGCTTAAACAAAGATTATGTTTTGTGGTCTCAAAAAGACAAAAAACACGTGTTATACTGAAGAAACTCAAGCGTCAAAAAATGTGTTCTTGATTTTCAACACCAGTTTTACCAAAAAAAAAAAACAAGAGTTCAGAAATCAAAAGTTTGATTTGGTTCAATTGTCCAATTATTTTTGTGTGAGTTCGATTTGGTTCGATTGCCAAATTCAATCAAACTCAATTCATGGATTGAGTTTGATTTAGTTCGATTGAGTTCAATTGAAATACAGTTTGATTGGGTGCGATTGACTATGCTGGGTGCATAGAGAACGTTAATGAGGTGAAATGCAAACTTGAATGCATCCTTTTTCTTCAGTAAAGAGATATAAGCTAAACTACAGAAGAGCCTCTGCATGGAAGGCAAATCCCAGTGGTGATTAAATTACAACAGTACAGTGAACTAGCTGCCAAACATGTTTTATTGTAATTACTTGATCTGTTATGTTAGGATGAAAGCTCTGCAGGATTACTGGAAACACGCACTGTTTCTTGGATGTTTGGGAACATTGTGTATAGCGATTTCTGTTTTAATCCATCGTGGAATACATGGGAGGTATGGAATAGGATTCCAGGGACTGAGCCTCGTCTGTTTAGGATTGCTTCCTTTGGTTGTGTTATTTGTTTTACGTCAAAGGCAAGTAACACTTTGGTGGTGTCCGTCAAGCACTGTATCTCTGTTACTTTCAACATGTTTAGTTTTATATTATCTTACAAGTAATGGCCTTTGGTGCGCGCAGCATCCAAACGTGACACAAGAATTGTGTGCAAAACTTGTTCAGTTTGCGTCGTTTGCGACATCTTCAAACGTGACCTCATGGTGGTTAACTCTGGGCGACCTTTTAGCCGTGCAACGCGGCCGTGACATGCCAATCCCATGGGAGCACGACATCGATGTTTGTATCACAGCTGATCAATTTCCAGCGTTTGAAGAAGCCCTCAGGTCGCATACTGGTCATTTCCAACCTGAGGCAGAGTGTCTTAAGCAGGGGCACTGGTATCTACCGATTGACATGTTGAAACATGGGCTGACAACTAGAGAAGCAGAAGGTGTAAATGTGGACATTTGGACTTGCCCACAACTTTCTGGAAACATAACGCGTGTGTTGTATTGTAATGGCTTAATGAATGTCCCTGGCTCTCTTGAGGATAGACATGCTATATTGACAAAACATTATGGAAATTACTTTATAGTCAAATACGCACACCACGATGTAATGTGCAGAATTTGGAATGGCTGAAAATTTGATTTATTGTCTATTTACTGTAAGTGTTTTTTTTTTCTTTTTTCATTTCTTAACATGTTATTAAAATGCTCTCTGAGATTCCTTTCATGCATTTTTTAGAATAGTTTCTGTCAGCTTAATTGGTTCCATGAAGACATGATTGATCATCGCTGTCTTATACACAACTTAAGCAGTTGTGAAATTAAAGCCTGAAAAAAATTCAGGCCTGAACGGTATTCATACCCACACCCATGACCTCTGCGATACTGCTGCAGTGCTCTACCAACTAACCAGCAAGCAAGCCAACTAGGAGCTGGTCACATGGTGAGTTCCAGGAGGCAGGGGGTGACTCTATTGTTTTCCAGTATTGATTCGTGACCGACTAATCGCTACTAGCGTGACGTCACCTAGCAACGAGTGAGCACTTCAAGTAGTCTATTCACATTACACCATTGAAGAAGGGCAACAGAGGTTAAGAAAGACAAAAAAAAAACAGGCCTAAGATCACTTTTGTTCACTAACTAATTGTAGGTGTGTACAATTTGTTGTTGCTTTTGTCTGTGTGCATTATATCTGTTTTAGTTTTGTGCCCGCGTAATGGTGTATTCTTGTTGAATTTTGTTGTGGGTAAGTGGAGGGACCACCATCTTGAGAACGAGACAAGAGAAGTCAAGGTAAAACATTTGCATTTTCTCTCTTAAATGTCTCACCAATAGTCTTGTTAATAGGAGTTTTTAGTTTCTTTCACAGGACCCCTCTGATAACAGTGTTGAATACACTGATCCATGGGTCATCCTGTTTAAATATTGGTTGTTGTTGTTGTTGTTGTTATTATTATTATTATGCATGATAATATATGTTTAATCCACGTGTCTTTCTGTGTTGATTGAATCAGCCGTTCCTCTCATCAATCTGTTTTCAGAGTGTTGGGATGTTGTTTATTTCTTGATTTCCACCAAAATTTCCCTGCAGTGTGATCGGTTTTGTTTGTTTTGGAGCACCTTTGATAGTAGTTATCAGGCCTTTGAATTCAATTCTTTGTGTTTCAACTTCATTTGCCTTTTGTGTTTTAATTGTGTCCGCTATATGGTGAAATTTATTGGCTTTAATCTTACAGCAGCTTTCTTTGCTCCAGGCTTTTGTTTTATTATTATTTTGTTTCATTATTATTGAAGGTTTGTAAACATATTTACAGACTGGTCTATTTTTAGGCTTCTTTTCCCGCGACATAGGTCAGTTCCGGTCTTCATGAGCATGCATCCGTAAGAAAAAAAAATGGCTGTTTGTCTTTTTAATCTTCCGATGAAACGATGACATCAGTTAAAAATTAAGTCCGTGCTTGTGATTGGCCACTGAGGTTCCTGTAATGTCTGATTGTCTTTGCTGGCTTTTTTCATGTCTAGTTAATAATAATAATAGTAACAAATATTTATATGGGATAGCCCTTCAGTGTAAGAGTACTGTTATCAAAGGGGTCCTGTCTAGATAACATAAGGATAAAAACTAAAATAAGATAAGAATGACTTCAAACTTATTAACTACACTATACAAAAATTTGATCTAAAGACTCCCTAAATAGTACCCTACTGCTAATTTGCTTGATTTTTAAAGGTAAAGAATTAAAAGCTGAAGCACCCAAAAGGTAAAAACTTTTCTGAGCAAAGTCAAGTAATTTCACTTCGTCAGAGCAATGGTGGTCCTTCTGTAGGACTTATTGCTGTTCACTGCAATTGCAGTGTCAGTGTTGTGGTTTTCAAATTTACAACAAAGTTCAAATTAGAGTTAGCCTGAGTAAGCTGTTTTAGGTTTTCTGTTTGTCACTAACATCTTGGTGTACAATTTTGGTGTAAAATATAGCATTTAAATAATTACATTTACGGTGACAACAATTTTGCTTTATGATTTATCTTTTGTCATAACCTGATGACTTGGCTTATTCCTGAACAATGCCATACCTTGAATGTTGCTGTAGCCAGAGTATTCCAGGTTCTCAGTCAGTGGGTATGATCGCAAAAAGCAGCTGGGCGACAAGCAACAAGTGGGGTCTGGTAGAGAAAGAGACCGAGAACCTGGAAAGGGTTAATTATGCTGCAACTGTCCTGCATTGCCATGTTGTAATGGCTCCTATTTCTTAAGCCTCCAAGACTTTCAAGGCTGTGTTGTAGTCTTTTCATCCCTAGTTAAATTCCCATCATATTCCAACTAAAAAGCAACCTTCCGCTAAATGTCACTAAATAGATATTGCTGCATAGCATTCAAAATAAATGACAGCAACTGCTAAGAAATGTATTAGAGTGCTGAAATGCTGTAAAAACAATCAGACATTTATTCTTATTAGTTATATTTATTAATTTAAACAAGTTTTATGCCTACATGTATTAGCTCTTTTTATTTATTCTACTTTTATAATCATATCCTGCCCTTCACAGGTCCACATCAGCCTATAGTTTCAATTATGACTATATGTACCATTTAGTCCATCAAATAATTGTGCTTGCACCGCATCTTTGTCTAATTGCATCATGCCATTAAATGCTTCAGCTACAACTGAAATATTCCCCAGTGGAGCGGTATTCCCCAATTTTCAAATTTTCAAGCAGATTCCGTGTATTGCTGAAAATATTTGAAGGATCATAAGCACAATAGTGGCTCCATTTGACTTGAAAAATATGCTTGGATATCTGTTCTTGGACATTATCTGTTCCTATCTTCTCGACAGAACAGATAATGTCCACAGAAAAATATTATATAAATATGCCATTTTTTTGGCACCAAATGAAGGCTACTTTTCATAAAACCTGCATTACCAAATAAAGGAATGATTGATTGACTGAGTCAGTTTTTCCCTCAGACACTGGAGGTCCATAAGTTTCATTCTCCTTCAGTGTGCTTAGCAACTACACTCTCATTCTGTTCATATCTTGCCATATATGCCCTGCCTGATCCATCGTTATTGGTTTCATTTGTGGTTAGTGTGATAGCAGTCAGCACTGAAAACCTTGATGCATGTTAGCTCCAGAGAATTTCCCCTATTTTGTTCTGTTTTGTGTCTTCATTGGTCGATGTTCAGTTATCCTTGTGTAAAAATGGTTGAATTTCACCACTTTAGCTTTCTTTTCTGTATCAGGTATTTAAGTCAACGAGGTTGGTGGTATCTATTGTAGTTGCTGATATAACAGAAAAGTCACATTTTTTACCTTCACTCCAAGTGTAACTATCATAAATTTGAGATCTCAAATTAATTCCAAATTAAACTTGTCAATTGATTTAAACTGGCAATGAAGCTGTGGTAAGCCTTTGCATGACTTTGTGCCTTTAAAGAAAATATCTTGAGCTGTCATAATCAATGGGAGTTTAACTGGAGGAGTGGAAGGGTGCCTAAGGGGTGCAAAAATGAAGCAGGAACTTGGAAATTTGACAACATGATTGAACATATGAAAAAAAAATTGTAGTTCTCATATGCATGTCTTGACAGGTGATGTAGAAATTTTTAAAAATCAAAACTAAGGTGGGTTTAAAAGTCCATGCCAGTTTATCATCCAGGGGGCACAAGCCTTCAAAGGGTAAATGTTCATCAGAATCCCTAAGTCAACAGGTCAACAGATTCTGATGGATCTATTAGGTTAAAAGCATTCATGGATTTTTAAAATATCCAATTCCAAACTAGAAATCAGGGAAAAGCTAATCACAGTTAGGCCGCTGGCCAGGAACTATGTATAATATTTGTTGCAAACGTAGCAAGCCTGTTCCTGGCAATCCGATTGTGGCAAGTGTCAAGATTAAGATTGCGATAGTAGAATATCAAAATAAGAAAAAAAAATGTGCAGGGGACTTGACCCTGAAAATAAAAATCTAAGCACATTTGCTAATTTTAAAAGAATGTGCGTATTGACCAATCACATCAGAGACCATGGACCGGTGTAGCTAGAGTACTAAATAAAGAGTTCTGATCAGTGAGTTATTTTAGATGGTTTCTGGCAATGGCAGAGTAATGATCTCAAGAAAAGATGTGATTATTTCATCTCCCCTAAGTTATCTCTGTCTAATCTCTTACGTAGACTTGAAAACTATGCATCAATTCCCTCTAGCCAGTTGTAACTAATTGATACTCATAAATGACATTGATGCATGAGTAATCAATGGGTAATCAACAAGTAATCAACTGAGTAGTCATTGATTATTGACGATGATCAATGAGTAACCAATGACTAATGTGTGACCAAAAGTGTTGTGGCCTATCGATTATTCATCAGTTTCTCATATCTGTCATTGATTATTCTTGATTAGGTTAAGATTATTCTTCTTAGTCATCCATCACCTATTGATTACGTACTGGCCCATTGTGTACACATATATTATTATGCTATTATGATTTTCCTGTATTTTTCTTCATTGTAGTCCATTTTTCTGTTACAAATCTTAATGTGAATGGTTCGCAACGATAATAATAATAATAATAATAATAATAATAATAATAATAATAATAATAATGATAATGGACCATAATGATATAAAAAATAAACTTTATTGAGTGCCTTTTCATACAAACTTGAATCTTACATGTAGCTGGTAAGATTATTAATAATGATAATGATAATGATAATAATAAGCAAATAGGAATTGTTTGTTCAAGGTTAAACATGGAAAGTAACTGAATTCATAGGAATCCAAGACTCGTCTCGCATCTATTACAATGTATAGGATATCTATGACGGTCAGTGTAAAACACAGACAGATAGCAGATTACTGACTATTGAAGTATATATCGTGTTATTTCCATTATCTTGAGGTGCTAACCATAAATAGGGCTATTCAGGGTATTGATAGTAGTTGATAGTGAAAGTCTGAACTCCAGTTAGCCTGAATATCACTCCGGGATAGCCTAAATAACGCTCCGGTTAGCTTGTTTATGGTTAGCTATCAATGATGGAAATGGTAACACGATTCAGTTCAAAAGTCTGCAGTCTGCAGTCTGCATTTTACCCTCAGTCTGTATTTTACCCCTGGTCTGCAGTCCGCAGTCCACAGTCTGTATTTCACTCCGACCGCATCTATGAGAAAAAAAAAACGGCATGCAGAAGTTTTTCCCCGCGACCCCGCAAGACAGCGCGCGCGTTCCCAAATGTTTTTAAATTTTGTGTTTGTATTTGTTTACACTGTCATCAGAGGTCGAGCAGTCCGAACTACGTAGTTTAGACAAGAAACTCGATGCCGAAGAGTATCTATTTCTATCTCATGGAGAAACTATTTCTTCATGAGAAATCGTGTATTCGCATATCTTTGTATGGACG